ACTAACGATCGCAATGAGTCGTTAGTGGTTCAGGTGCAAGGGAAGGGTCAGAGAGCTAGTAAAGTACTAGTGAAGGCTTAGAGCTGTTAAAGGTACTAGTAAAGGGTTACAGCCAGTAAACCTACTATTGAAGGGTTAGCGCTAGCATAGGTGCAATAGAACAGTTACTGGTACAGCTGTGAGTAAACTAAAGAAGGTAACTGTAGTAAATTAGAGCTGCTACAAGTCTGAGTGATGAAGTAACCGAGCCCCAGGTACGAGTAATGATTTGAGTTTGAGGTGGGACTCATCAGGTATAAGTGAAGAGTTTTTGTGGCACTGGTTGGGTACGAAAATTCTGACCGGGGACGGATTCGTTACCGGTACTGGGTGTAACATAATAAAATGGTGGTGTAATTCAGGTGTGAGTTCCAGGTGTTTCTATATGAATCTATCAAAGAATGTAGGTAACCAATGAAAATTTTCACTCCTTCACAGATTCCTTGCCCAGCTGTGCGTGCTGGATAGGAACAACGATAAGGAACAATCTTCAGCTAAATCCTCGTTTCCAACGGTAACAATCTATATCGTGTTGATATAATTATAGTATAATATAATGATAATATTATAGTCGCGAGAATCCAATTCATGAACATGGTTGAAATACTGAAAAAATAATGATTTCATGTTATTTTTTCATTGCGTGAACCTATATAAGATATAACTAAACAGAGGGCACTCACGGAGAGTGCATACCTCCGCCAGCATGTAACATGTATGTGTTACGAGCTGGCTCGCTGCGCTGGCTGGCTGGCTGGCTGACTCGACGCGCTAATATCGATCGTGCGAACGCACGAACGCACGAACGCACAGACCCGAAAAAATAACCTCCCCTCCAACTCCGTTGGGCGGAGGTAATTATGCTAGTATTGATCGTGAGACGGTGCAGATTTGTGATTCGGTGTTTTTTTATCAGGGAGTGAAGCTGCTGTCGTATGTCTACCAGGAGGCGCTGCGAAACTCTGCGTCCGATGTTCACGCTGTTCTCTTGTCACTGCTGAAAGCGAGCTGCGAACCGTACCTGCTGTAAGTAACAATATGTGACAATATGTGACAATAGGTGACAGCAATGACGATGATGATGACAACAACGATCGGTGATGTGATGACCGTGATGATGACGATGGTGATGATGGTGACAACAACACTGAGGACGATGGTGACACCGACAGGGATCACGATCATGACGATGGTGGTGGTGACATTGCTCGTAATAATGCAATAATAATGCACCATGGTCATTATTCCACCATTTCCTTAAGCTTTCTGCCTCACACTTAATGCTGCAATACATGCTATGATATAGACGCTACAATAGGAGCTGCAATACACAGTGTAATATACACATTGTAGTATAGACAATGCAATAAACACTGTAATATACACATTGTAGTATAGACAATGTAATAAACACTGGAATATACACATTGTAGTATAGACAATGTAATATACACATTGTAGTATAGACAATGTAATATACACTGTAATATACGCTGCAATGCAGGTTGTAATTGCTCCTCCCTCTCTCTCTGTATCTGCACGTGACAGCTTCGTCAAGGAGTGGGTGTTCCACGGCATCTGCCGCGACCTCTACGGAGAGTTCATGCTGCAGGTCAACGATGGCTGCCTCGCCGCCAGGGGTGAGCGAGTTAATTACCCTCACCCCCTAATTAAGCCGTGATTACGCGGGGGAGGGTTTGCGACAATTGTTTGGTTTTAAGTTTGTAATGTGGGAATGGCGTGCAGGTTGTTATTAGGTTGATGGTGGGATCTAGGTGTGTGTGTGTGCATTAGTTGATGGTGTAAGGTACAGTACAGGTCACCGATACATAATTCTATGGCTGTATGGTAAGACTGTGGACATATTCTAACCCTACACAGTACAATATAATCACATACAACACACACAGTCAAACCTTGAGAATTCAGTGTAAGCTTACACTACACTACACACACACATTTGTATATATATATATATGTATAAATATACATATATATATATATTATATACTATATATGTGTCTGTGACTCTGTGTGTGTATATATGTACTATAGTAGTGGAGCGTGTAACGTATTGTGTGTTGATTGCACAGACAAGCGCTACTGGACGCACGGCTACAGCATGGTGGGCGGTGGCGACACATCGGACGCAGTCCCACTGTTCCTCACGGACCTCTGCAGATCCATCTATGTCTGCGGCAAGTCCCTCAACCTGATGAAGCTCTGCTGCCCAGAGGTGAGCTGGCATCCCCGCATCCTTGCCTTTCGCAGCATCTTTCCTTAGATAGCAGGGCTAGCCTCCCCACATTCGAAGCTCTTGCACATCATCCCTCGTAAGATCGCTGATGATTCGCTCTCGTCGATTCTCGTGTGCTCACTCGTGCTGCCCTCTACTCACTCTGTCCAGCACTACATATGTAACGTGGACGAGAGGGCGCCACCGCTCAGCATCACGTTCTCGTCGCGCGACCTCGGCTGCATCGACGCTCGTTGCCGTGACTACTCGTCCCACGTTCGCGCGGTCGCCGGAGTCAGGTGAGCCATCGCGGCTTCGCGAGCATCGTCGTGGCTACGGCATCGACATGGTTACAGTGTTGTCGTGCGTATGGCGGTGCCATAGCTACGTCGTTGCATTGGTATGGTGTCGGCATGGTTTAGGGGTTATAGTGTTGCCATGGAAACATTTTCTTGCTTGTGGCCGACAGTATTGCGTCGCGGCATATAATATTTACAACTGTAATTGTAGTTGCGATTGATGTAAACAAATTACTCCCTTCTCTCAGTGTCTCATAAGTAAAACATGTTCTCTGGTATAGATCTGGCATTCTTATCTTCGTATAACCGTGCATCACTGTCATTGGTTCGTCCATCACAGGTCGTCACGGCGACGGCAGGAGATGCGACTAGCGGAGGAAGCCAAGAGGGAGTCTGCGGAGAAACTGCGACAGCACTACCTCAAAGAGATGGCCAGGATCAAGGGTGCGTACTGCGGCGCCCTCTAGTGAGAGTGTCAACACGTCGATTAAACCATCTTCAGAGAAAACCACGTTGAAATTTTTAATATGGGGGGGGGGGAAGGTGGGGTTAAAGATTGTTGTTGTTGTTATTATTGTTGGAGTTTTTGCTGCATCTGTTGCTGTTGCTGCTGTTGTTATTATTGTTGGAGTTGTTGCTGCTTCTGTTGCTGTTGCTGCTGCTGTTGTTGTTGTTGTTGTTGTTGTTATTGTTGTTGTTGTTGTTGTTGTTGTTGTTGTTGTTGTTGTTGTTGTTGTTGTTGTTGTTGTTGTTGTTGTTGTTGTTGTTGTTGTTGTTGTTGTTGTTGTTGTTGTTGTTGTTGTTGCTGGTGCTATATTATCATATGTCTGTTGTAGGCAGTCTGGTGGAAAAGAGAGGGGAGGAGGATGCAAGGAAGCGGGAGAGGTTCCAGGAATTAAAGACGCACATGGAGGAACAGAAGAAGGTAAACTTCACGTGTGCGTGCGTGCGAACATGTGCGCCTGCATGCATGCTGTGCATTCGTACATGCCTAACTGTGTTTGGGTGTGTGCGTGTGTCTGTGTGTGTGTGCGTGTGTCTGTGCGTGTGTGCATTCGTACATGCCTAACTGTTTGCGTGTGTCTGTGTGTGTACATTCGTACATGCCTAACTGTGTGTGCGTGTGTGCGTGTGTCTCTGTGTGTGCATTCGTACGTGCCTAACTGTGTTTGCGTGTGCGCATGTGTGTGCGTTCATACATGCCTAACTGTGTTTGTGTGTGTGTGTGTGTTTGGGTATGTGCGTGTGTCTGTGTGTGTGCGTGTGTCTGTGTGTGTGCGTTCGTGTGTGCATGTGAGCTACCTGACTCTCTCCTATCTGTATCTCTATCCTATCTGTATGTCTGTCTTATCTGTATCTCTGTCCCATCTGTACATATTCTCCAGGGGTAGAAATTAACTTTTGAATACCCTCAAAAAGAGGGAGTCCGCAGCAAAATGAGGGAGTCCGCAGTCTGAGCTTCAAAATTAAGGATATTAAGAATAACGCATGTGCTTATTTTGAAGATTCATGCTGTTGCACGTCAGCCATATTTTCTTTGGACATTAGCTGAAAAATTACGGTAATTCCACGAGGCCGTGCTCAGGAACGAACTAGTTAGTATGGCAGAATTTTCATGGAGTCACACGGACTCCTGCATGTGTCAAATCAGGGAGTCCGACAGTAAATCAGGGAGTATTTGACTCCGGACTCCGGACGTTAATTTCGCATCCTGCTCTCTGTGTAGCGGAGGCTGGAGCATCAGCAGCAGGAGGCTGAGGAGGACACTGCTAGGATGAAGAGACTCAGTCAGCGTGAGATTGAGCTCGGCACCCTGGAAGCTGAGTTGGAGAGACAAGCCAGGCAAGTATCAAATGTGACCATACGTGCCCCGGTATTATTTATACTATATATATATAGATATAGCTATATATTTACATGTATGTTATACATATGCTGTAATGGGAACTTAGGCAAGCGTCCTACCTTTGCTAGAGGGAAGAGGATAGTCTTAGAAGAATAAAGGAATTAAAAATATTCGTTATTACTATAATCAGTAATTTGTTTACCTTCATTAATCCGTTAATTAATTCGTTAATCATCAAGCCGCAATGAAAGTGAGCGAGTAATCATCATCTGTAATTAATTGGTGATTAACGACACCGCAGGGAGGAGATGATTGCTGACTACGAGCGCGTCACAGCCAAGATGGCGGTGCGAGAGCGTCGCGCGATCTGGAAGACGCGTCGCCTGCGTCTGAGCGGACGACGAAACCGCTTCCTGCGCGACGACGCCTCGCGCCTCGACGAGCAGCTGCGGAGGCTGAGGAACTCCGCGGAGGATGCTGAGGAGGATGCTGAGGCTGTGGAAGATGCTGCAGAAGAAGCTGAGGCTGTGGAAGATGCTGAGGCTGTGGAAGATGCTGCAGAAGAAGCTGAGGCTGTGGAAGATGCTGCAGAAGATGCTGAGGCTGTGGAAGATGCTGCAGAAGAAGCTGAGGCTGTGGAAGATGAGGATGATGCTGGGGTCGGCACGACAACGCCGGCGGCTGCGTCCGCGGACGTGCGGCACCTCCTAGACTCGTTCTTCGGCGGGGCCACAGAGGGCGCCGGCGTGCACAAGGAGCCGGGCGATCTTCTACAGCTGTCCACCAGCGAGGGCGCCTTCGTCACTCGCAACCTGCTTGAGTTCTCACTCGCATCGCCAGGGGGCGACGTCATCAGCCCCGAGACTGAGCGAGTCCAAGAGAGGGCGCTGATGACGTCTGCGGCGACGTGTGCCGTCACCAGGAGGCGCTGGAATAAAACCGAGGCGGCGAGTAGCGTAGAGCGAGAGATTTGCGACGCCGCCGTAGACCATGCTCACCAGGTGGCGACGGGAAGGCTGCTCGATTTGACGGCCGCGGATGAAGCACCAGCTCCCCCTGGCCACGACGCGGTGCGGGCGACGTTGAAGCTAGTTGATATCACGATAGACGTGGCAGAGCGTAATCCCGTGGCAACCGATCCTGACGCCATGGCAACCGATGCTGCTATTGTGATGACTGGACTCCTCCCCAGAGGCAGGAGCCTGGATCATTCCGCAGATGCGCTTCCGACCTTGAATGCAGGCAAGGACGTTGAGAACGACGAAACAAGAGAACGTGCCTTGCCCGGCACGGAGCAAGACATCTTCCGTGAGGCGAGTCCCAACCAGCCCGCCCAGGTGGCGCCGGTGATGCGGCAGGTGGCGCCCCGCAGTGTCGGCATCCCTCATCTCGCGAGGACCACGCCTCGCCGCGTCTCGGACGAGACGTCGCCCCGTCGTCGTGGCGACGACGATGCCGGCATCCCGCGCAGGATCCGCACGTCGTGGCACGTATCCGAGATGTCGGCGCCGCCACCAGAGGGCGCCGCGATCCCGCGCAAGGCGAAGACGTCTCGCCGTGTGTCAGACGAGAGCTCGACGGAATTTGCTCACATTCCCCTGAAGGCGCGGACGGACCGTCACGTGTCGGAGACGACGGTGGCGCCATCTAACGACGACGCGATCCCGCGAAAGGCGCGGACGGACCGTCACGTGTCGGAGACGACGGTGGCGCCATCTAGCGACGACGCGATCCCGCGGAAGGCGCGGACGGACCGTCACGTGTCGGAGACGACGGTGGCGCCATCTAGCGACGACGCGATCCCGCGGAAGGCGCGGACGGACCGTCACGTGTCGGAGACGACGGTGGCGCCATCTAGCGACGACGCAATTCCGCGGAAGGCGCTGACGGACCGTCACGTGTCGGAGACGACGGTGGCGCCATCTAACGACGACGCGATCCCGCGGAAGGCGCGGACCGACCGTCACGTGTCGGAGACGACGGTGGCGCCATCTAACGACGACGCGATCCCGCGGATGGCGCGGACGGACCGTCACGTGTCGCAGGAGAGCGAGACGGATGCTGCGCTGGTCGCCATGAAACACGAGCAGACGGCGGCTCAACGTCCTGTTGCCGTGGCGACCGCCACGAGCGTCCTTCCATCGCCCGATCGCACTTCCGCCGGCGAGAGCGAAAAACCCTCGGAGGAGGAGGACGCCGCGAGAGTGCCGCTAGGTGGCAGCACCGGTGCGGCGGCGATCGGAGACGAGCGCCTGCAACAACGGAACGTTCACGGTCATGCGTCGGACTCCACCGTTCAGCAGCTCATGCGACTGGGAGACGACGTCGCCGTCAGGTGTCGCCGCCGGCGCACGAAAACAAGCGAACGTGACGACGCCTCTGCCCGTCTCGGCGCCGCGCTGCCGGTTGCCGTGGCGACGACCGAGGGGAGTGCGGATGCGTTTACGTGGACGGAGATGCCTGCTGATCCGTTTACTAACGACCTGGAGAAGTACAGAGACGTGCTGGGTTAGTCACTGTCCTACGCCAATCACCCTCGTTTACCTGCTTGTAATTAATATGTAATTAATATGTATTATATCAGGAGTTAATAAAGACAAATTGTAATAAAGAGAAATATTTGTCTTTATTAACTCCTGATTAATATGTATTAATATGTATAATTATTATGTAATTGTATAAATATGTCTAG